CTCATATACTTTAAAAAATGGTTTTGTCTTTTCCGAGTTCGTTTGGCTCTTCTACCCGACCGATTTTCATGATTGAGGTCTCAAATTGAAAAAAATGCACGCACAGATTTCACATCAAGCACCGGCATATATTTATCTAAAGTATTACTCAACCAAAAACATATATATTTGATTTATTTTTGAATTCTTACTTCAATTTAAGATGTATTTTACCAGTTATAATTATGTATAATTAAAAGTCTAGAGGGTTAATAAAAAGTCTGGAGACTCCCTGTCAATTTTTTAACAGCCTATACTAGAAATATTAAACTCTTCACATCTTTATGGCATGATATGAAATACTTTTTGGGCATAACCGCCACTTCGTGTACATCCCCAAAATGGGGGATTTTAGGGGAAACTCGAAAATTTCAGAGGGTAAGACCCATCAAGTGACCCCTCATTTTGAAGGTCCTGATGAAGGAAACCCAAAAACGCAAACCAGGGCTATCATAACCCAGTAAAAAATGGCAGTCAATTGAAATTCTCAGAAGTGAAATTTAACTTACAGCTTTCCAAGTCTAGAGAACCCCAGTAAATTTTGTAGCGGCTCGCACAAGAAAAACTAAACTCTGCACACCTTTATGGCATGTTATAAAGTACTTTTTGAGAATAATTGCTACCTGGTTCGCAAACCCAAAATGGGGGATGTTAGGGGAAACTAAAAAATTTGAAATGTTAAGAACCATCAAGTGACCCCTCACTTTGAAGGTCGTGATAAAATAAAACTAACAACGCAAACTAGAGGTCTCTATCTTAACCCTCCGAGTGTTATTTGTCGCTGCAGCGACACATAACACACTTTGTGTAGTGTTTTGTGTCGCTGCAGCGACTCACAAACACTGTTTACGGCGAAGGCTCTATGACTGACAAAATCGTATTGAACTGGATCGAGTTAGGTATCGTTTTATTTGACAGATTCAGAGCTTTCTCCGGAGGTCTGTCTCTAAGCGCTATTCATTTTAGTTCCGAAAATATTGTAGCAGACAGCTGACGTGCGTATTTGTAAACAGCTTGGTTAACCTCGGACCGATGACTGATGTGTTTTATTACGTTTATCATTGTTTTAGTGTTAAAAATCAAAAGTAGTGATATACGTGGTGCATTATAAGAAGATTTAAGTGATTTTGAAGGGCTGGTTGATGATCCTGAATAAGTAGGTAGTGATATTGATGTAAATTATCAGCTAGATTCCTAGCTATGGTTAGGCTATGCATTCTTAGCTAAACGCTATGTACTGAAATCTGTTTTTTGCCCATAACTTATTTATTTGCAAATCTACTTCCTTATATTATTATATATTTGTAATCCTCATAAAATTTAGAACAAAGTGGCTATTTTCAAATATTTATAGGCCTATAATTTATACAATTTCATTGAGCGCAAACTTATTTTTTTTTTTGAAAATTTTCCTAAATATTTTTTTTACCTAAAAATTTTTTTTGAAACAAATGTTCCTTATGTTCTATGTATAATATTGAAGCCCATGATTTTCCAAACAAAATGGTATATAGAACAGTATAATTAACATTGTTTTCAAGCTTCTCAGATCCGTTTGAATAAAACCTTGCAAATGAGCAAAAAATAGGCAGACATTAAGGCCAAAACAAGGGACACTCGGAGGGTTAATACAGTAAAATACGGCAGTCAATTGAAATCCTTCAAAGTCTATATTCTGATGTCTAAAGATTTCAATTGACTGCCATATTTTACTGGGTTAAGATGGAGACCTCTAGTTTGCATTGTTAGTTTTCTTTAATCATCAACACCAACATCTTCACTCATTCAGGATCCAATCTGTTTACATTTAATACTGGGTCAACCATTATCTTTGTAGAAATGCAACAAAAGATAAGTCAACAGCAGCAATTGAAAGAAGTAGGCAAATATCTTTCTACAAAAAAGTCATAGTCGTATAGTGATGGGGTGGTTTAATATGTGAATAATTTAGGCTTGTAGAATAAACCGTATGAATCAACAAGTAAAACTACTGAACAATAGGTAGAAAACTCATAAAATAAAGAAAAGTTAACCGTTATTTTACTCACTAACTTGTGAAAAATTCTAAATTAAATTTAAGTTTAGGACATTGATATATATATTGGTAGTTCTGGGACGGAGACAAAAATTCAAATCAAATAAGTTTTTGAACAAAAAAGTTTAAATAATGCTTGTTCTGCAGTAATTGCAAAAGCTGTAATTAGTAAATGTTGGTTCAAGGGACAAAATCCTATTCTCATAGAATCTATATATTTAATACACAGTTGTAACACTGTTTTCTCAGTAATTACTGGACCGATCTACAAGATTTATGTCTCAAATTAAAGGGGATAGTGTGTAGATTTGCCGAACTTCCTTAGAATTTATGTTTTTTCTAAGGGCTACGACCTACAGCCCTTTAAAGGTCGAGTCAATAAATTCTTATTGAAGAATATAATACACAGTTTATAAATTATTCGTCAGCTGTTTAATGTTTGTCAGACATTTGTTATTATTTTTATAACCTCACTTTCAGTATGCAATTATTAAACTTGGAGTTTCTGTTCATAAACACGCGATTTTGATCAAGGAAAGTGTATTTGTTAACTTATTTTTGAAATGGTTTTTGTTTTCCTGCAAAGTGATCTGAAGGAAAAAGTGGTAATTGAGTTTAAGTTTGAGTATGGAATGTGAAATAATACCCATAGTAGGGAACGGAAACTTATTGTTTTGATCAATATAATTTATTCTCTACGGCCACCAGAATAATCATGGGGAAATCCGCTTGCAAGTTGTACATATAATTGCTAATGAGTGGGAAACATACAAACATTTTATAGTAGGTGACGAATCTTACTCAAGATCAGTGTTAGACGTTCAGTGGTACCAACCTTTACCTTCTCGAGATGGCGAGTACGCTGGGATACGTGGAACTACAATATATCAGTGAATTTTTTTTTCAAGTACACAGGGAAGTTGCTTGAGAAACTGTGACTTACCATTCGGTTCTGGTGAAGAACTATGTGACTTGATGTTTAAAGGCAATGTTGACTCGGGTCATTATAGCGTTATAAAACTTTATCATTAACCCCAGGATGTGAAAAGTACAAAAAGAAAAAGAAAAGGTAATCATTACCTGGGCGTAAAGAGACATACCGAACGAAAAAAAAAAATGTAGAACCATCGAACTAAAAAGGCAAAGAGCAGTGATGGTGTTAAATGTGCTCTGGAAGTCCCTACAAAAAAATACCAACTCTTTTGAATTGGGGTCGTTAGATTGGATTTGTCACTACTTCAAATCTATGAATTTCGAGTCAGAACAGTCTAACTGGGACACAAAAATGTTTTAGTTTTCCTGCAAAGTGATCTGAAGGAAAGTGGTAATTGAGTTTAAGTTGAGTATGGAATGTGAAATAATACCCATAGTAGGGGACGGAAACTTATTGTTTTGATCAATATAGGCTAATTTATTCTCTATAGCCACCAGAACAATCATAGGGAAATCCGCTTGCAAGTTGTACAGATAATTGCTAATGATTGGTAAACATACAAGAATTTTATCGTAAGTGTATACACAATCTTACTCAAGATCAGTGTTCGACGTCCAAATTTTACCTTCTCGAGATAGCGAGTACGCTGGGATATTTGGAACTATAATTTATCAGTGAACTACACCCTAACTATATTTGTTCGAGTAGGCCTACACAGGGAAGTTGCTTGAGAAACTGTGACTTACGATTTCGGTTCTGGCGAAGAAGTATCTGACTTGATGTTTAATGGCAATGTTGACTCGGGTCATTATAGTGATATAAAACTTAATCATTAACCCCAGGATGTGAAAAGTACAAAAAGAAAAAGAAAAGGTAATCATTAACCGGGCGTAAAGAGACATACAGAACGAAAAAAAACTTGTAGAGAACCATCGAACTAAAAAGGTAAAGAGCAGTGATGGTGTTAAATGTGATCTGGAAGTCCCTTCTAAAAAATACCAATTTTTTGAATTGGGGTCGTTAGATTGGATTTGTCAGTAGGCTACTGCAAATCTATGAATTTCGAGTCAGAACAGACTAACTGGGACACAAATATTTTTTTCTTATGTTGTCACAAGGGGAAGGTAAAATGAACTACTTATCAACATTTTGAGTTTATGGAAAATCTTATCAACAGCGACTATAAAAAAAGTATTAAGGGTTAAAAGAGACAAAAAACTATTTGAGTAAAATATAATACAAATCTGCATTTGAAATGGCCAGTTCTAAATCCACGACTCCTTTTCCATCAAATTGGACCGTTAATACCCTCTAACATTGAACAAAGTATGCCCAACTTTATATATACGATGTAAACACAGCTTTTACTCACAGTATGGGTCAAAGATTCGTGAAATGCGACCAACTGCTGATGCGTGATTTACATGCAGGCTAAGTGACTATCTTTATTCCATACAACAAATGTAATGAAAAAAACTACGAATATAGGAATATACTTGAGCAAATTATCTAAATATCATAAATAGCTGCTTATTAGGTTATCAGCATTGCCCAGTTCGTATACTATTTATTTTTCAAATGAAACTCGAATTAATGTAAAACATTCATTTGGTTAAAATAATATATTGGGTTGATTAACATAAAATAGTTTATACAGGCAAACTATCCACGTTCTATTTCATGTAAAAAATTAAACAACCCATAAATAAAATACAAAGATAAACAGTATTTCACATTTGTTAATTATTATTTCTTTTATTGCTGACAATATTCCCGTGGCGGAGCACGGGCGGTTAACTAGTATAGAATTATAGCATCAACGTAAATTTTTACGCACACATTTATAGGTCACATTGGTCAATGTTTTTTATTTATTTTTTTATTTTAGAAACGCTAAAAGGTTTATTTAAAAAAAGAAACAATCCCAAATTGAGATTAGAAAAGGTTCATTTTATCTTACTTGCACCTGAATAAATTCAAAATAAATCTTACCAATAAGCATCTCTTCAGGCAAGATTTTTCTTTGTGGAATAAGAGATCACCAACTAGTTTGGCAATGGTAGGGAGGGCAAGGGCTTCAACAAATATCCGAGTATATTCCCGTTTGATTCCTTCAGGCTCAATGGGGACCATCCTGCCATTGACATTGTGGTACCTGTTAAAAAGATCACAACAAAACTTTATATTATTTTAAAATAAGAAAGGTATTAAATACAGTTAAATTATACTTACTTTAAGTTGAGTGTAGGATGAGTGGCGCGATCTGGTAGTCTTGTTAGTGACTAAGGCCGACATATTCCTTAGACACATCTGTTAATTAATAGCCAATACAGCTAATGGCAACTATGGGACCTACAGTTTATTGTGGAATCCGAACCATCATATACTTATCATATATACATAATCATGAATCCTAAAATGTCGTCCGATTTTGAAGCCATTTTTCTTACCTCATCTGTGGTGAAAAGTCTCAATGGCTTTTAGTTATAGATCTTTTCAAATGTAATAGGTTTAGATGGAAGGGATGTTATGAATATGTGATAGTTGTGATACTATAAGCAGAAGTGGTCATGCCAAGTAGAATATTAGTACTGTAGCAGAACAGTTTAGTTAACAAATTTAGCAAGTGAAAGGATGCAATTAATTATAAATGCAAATAACTGTTAAGTAAGTTATTGAAATATTAGATCATTATCATTATGAGATAGAGACACCATCTAAGTGCGTATTTTATCCCAAAATATGAGTGAATGATAAGTGTAGAATATTGTTAGATGATCTGTGTAGCTTTGTTACTGAATAAGATCAGCTGTCTCATCAGTCGTAACAACACAGTTCTATAAAATTTTAAAACAAAAATTATCAATTGTAGCAAAATAACACAATAATAATTCAGTAAAACACAGAAATATTTTTAAAATGCATACACACTGAGTCTATGTCCTAAAGTATTAAATCTGAGCTGCAAGAACTGAACTGCAGCTGGTACTGGTATGCAGAAGACTGTTCATAGCTTACTGAGTCAAAACTTACACGACAGAGGGCAGGATGTGTTTTAGAAGTGGTAAATTTGATCTTCTACGAAGAAAAGCCAGTAAATAATGTTCCCACGGGATCATTTTCATTAATATCAAAGAAGTTGGGATGCAAGGTAAAAGCACTAAAAGAATTAATGGTTCCACACTCTCTAACAAACACAAGCCTTCTTCTTCTCCAAAAATCTGTAAATAAAAAAATCTGTATAAAATGAAAATAATTTCAACTGATTGGGTTTTATTAAAATATGTAAAAGTAAACAAGTGTTTGTAAAATTATGAATTTACAATTTTATTCACATTACTACACTTGGTTAGGTTGAAATAATCACTAGGCTATAACTTAGGTATTTGGCAAATATCAGAAATCATTTAGGCCAACATGTTTTTTTTTTTTTTTACTTATAAACTTAAAAACTTGGGATATTTAAGTTGAACACATGCATAATTGTGTAGTAGGAGTATAACAAATGTAATAACACGTATGTGCACTATATACTTCTAACCATCTTAAGAGATATTTTGAAATACACGGTAAAATGAAGAAAAAAATACATCGATACTCGAATCAAGAACATCACCAAGAAATATTACCAAAAGTGTAACATTTTTAAAGTAGAATAGATAATATTAATATCATATTAACTTCAACTATTTTTTAGGTTAATGTTCCAACATTTACCAAGAGCTACGGAAGATGATGATGTTTCCACAACCTTGGGAGGCGTTCACGATTTTTCCACGTCACGAAAGACAATGATATGTCTTTGTGAACAAAGGGAAAAATCACCATTGTTTCATGATCGTATATTATGGCCATGATGACGATTGTGATGAATGCACAATTGCAATCAACAAAGTTGCATGTCAAGTTTGTGGTATTGAAGATTCATCATTATTGCAATCGAGGAAGCATATAAATAATTAAGGTGTTTGTGTGAAAGGAAATAAATACAGAAAAAGCTGTGTTAAATTAGGTTAGACCAGGCTTGAACTCTCAATCCTTTAATCATTTCGTTGGTTTTATTCTTCGAAAACAAATCTATATAAATAAGTTCATATGATTATTATATTAAGTTGCCTCGCCGCTAACTTTCTAGATGATTACAATTTCACCGCAAAACCAAAGTCTCAAAGAAAGTATAGAGGATTAACGTTTCTTGGTGCCGTCGGTATTTTGGGGGTGGATACCCTGCTTTATAGACTTAACACCCACATAGGTTTGATGTCCTCATCTCACAGATTGATATAGGCTCTACATTTAGAAGGTATAATAAAACTGCGCACTTTCTATAATTACTTTGATTCAACAGCTTTAATTTCAAACCTCATCTCTACCAAACATTTTTCAAGCACATTTAGCAAACTGGGATCTCAGTTTAAATCCTGAATTATTGAGACAAAAAAGGAATTGGATCTTCCTTGTCCGACCTTCAATGAGAGATTGATATGTATATCATGTGATAAAATAAATCTATCAAAACCTAAGTTCTTGACCACATTTTTTACCTGCATAATAGTGAAAGCCCCATAACCAGATGCACTCCAACAGATCATCCACACGGAGGCCAGGGCAGTTGAGATTGGACATACAACCTCGACAAACCTATCCATCGTCTGCATCAGTTTCATTAGCACATCTGAAACAGAACAATGAAAATTGATCAGAGACGTCACTCAACTAAGATGAGTTCTAGAACTTGCAAAAATCACTTTGGTTTTTCATCCTTTTGAATTAGTTGGAAACGTTTAGAATGGATGCAGCAAAGTCTTCTCTAGCTTCAAAATAATTGTGATGATATTTTTGTAAACCACTGCTTTCCTCAGAGTAGATCTCACACTATAACATTTATCCTAAAGAAAGGGAAAAACATTTAGTCAACATTAACAAAGGTATATGACATGAAACACACACCAAAACAAAATGATTGTATTAGTAGTCTAGTAGCAGGATCCTAAGTAAATGTTGCTTCTTTTAGTACTTTGGGTCAACTATTATAGGCCTACTTAAAAGGCTAAAATATTCACTGTTTATAAAACACATACAGACATCGAATATATCTATCAACAGAAATATTAGGTCTGAAAATATTACCACCTGATCGTTCAGAGTGCTGAATGATATTGAAAATGGACGAGAATTCTAGAACAGTTTACGTTTACAATCACGGTAATAGCAGAATGAAGCTACTTTTTTGATTAGTTTGTAAGCTTTGAGATTACTCATTTAAATATTCAATTACATGAAGACATTATAACACTGTGAAACACATAGATAACAGATTCATAACACAGAAGAATTTCCCTTACATTACATAGTTTTTATGGTTAGTTACAAATAATGGTAAATGTTGCTAATTGTACTTAATACACAATGGATTTATATTTTTTTAAGTCGGTCGTTTCCTGATGGTTTTAATCAGAAGCCAAACCCCTCCAGAATTTGCATTTGTTGAAGGAAGGACAAATAGTAAGTTATACACCAACTACTCAAATACAATATTATAACTCATTGAAACAATAACCAATTAATATCCTCTAAGTCTTTTTTTTACATATGTAATATTTTTTTAACGTGGAAAGTGCAACTAAATGAAATTGTATACAAATGAGTATTTATATAGTTCAAACAGATAACTACTTTTTGTCAGTAATTTTGACAACTACTTACCAGGTTTAGGGGAAATGATAACAAACTCCACTTTACATTGAGGACATGCTAATTTTGCACTGAAAAAATCTTTTTTCTTCTCGTCAACCCATAGAAGTAGACAGCTTTCATGAACCTACAAAATTATCATAATTAGCAATAGGTAAATAATATTTTAAGGATGACTAGTGAGCAAATGCAAATCAGTGCTGCTTGTTGTTGTACACAAGCAAGCTGCATCCAGTAGGCTACATCTTGTCAAGTGTATTTGCCTAAAATGTTGTGCCATACAGGAAATTACAGAATGGATCTCAGACATTAACAAGCTTCTAAGGCTAGGTATCTTACATTTTACATCAACCGACTAAGAGATTAAATTGCCTTAAACCACCTTATCTTTTTGGAAGATTTACTTCTGCCAGCTGGGTCTACTATCCATCACTTCCCCTTAAGAGTCCTTGGAGGCTGGCGGCCATCTTGAATTCGGCCGCCATAAGAGTAATGTTAATTTGTAACGGTCGCTGAAGAGTTATTTACCATCCTAAAATATTGTTTCAGGTACCAAAATGATCGTAATTTAAATATCTTGTACACCATGAGATTAGAAATGTAGTTTGATGTTTTGTAATCGTTTGATGACCAAAAAATAAATAATAAACCAATAATTAAAAATTTTAAAAACCTTTTCTTTTTTCAAAGTTTTTTTTTCATAGTGTACTTAAGAATTTAGTTGTTAGCACTCTGCTAAATTTTCAAAGCTTTAGGAGTAAAGGTAAGATGGTAGTGAGCGTTTTAATGACACATTGTTACGTTGGTTGCTACCCGTCTCACGGCAACTGGAAGTACGCAGCTAGTTCCAGCTTTTTCCGCGAGACAGCGGGCCTAATCGTTTGATCCTGACCTTGAACTGCACGTGTTACAGGTGTTTCTGTCTCAATCTCTCAGTATAGAACGATTCAAAAAACCAAAATAAAGCAGCGGAGAGTTTGCAATGTAATACGCATCTGTGTCAGTAGTGACAAACGTAAACTGTGCAAACATTTTTCATCGTGCATCTGTTTTGGTTTTAGCACAAGTGAAGTGAATTATTGTATAGTTAAAATGTTATACGGATTTTAAAACTTGTTTTTAATTGCCCTTTAATTTTTTTTCAACTAACAGAACTAAAGGTATGATTTTAGTTGCTTATTGTGTTAACAGTGTTTAGTGTGGTAGTCATGGGGAATAAACGGAACAAAACTCGTAGACTGAAATGTCGAAACGGACAACGGTTTGAGGAGTGGCGAGTGCTAAAAAGCTTCGATTTAGCTAAAACCGGAATCGGTAAATTATCTAAAAGTAGAGGCAGTGATCAAGACAATCAATTGTACAATGTTACTAATTTAAGTGAAAATTCCACACCTCCTTCAGCTTCTGATAGTATGCTTGCCATTGAAAATAATGGTCAAGGTCAAGTAGATACCCCAGTTCCCAATGATCTTGTCATTGAAAGTGATAGCTCTCCTGGTGAAAATTCTGTCGAACCTTTGTCTGGGAGGCGTATTGTAGACATTGATTATTTTTTTAAAAATATTGTTCAAATGGGATGTCACGGGGAACAGTATGGTTGTACTCTACGCAACATGGTGTATTCGCAAGAAGTAATTAGGGGGTTAAAGTCGGGGTTTGTTTTCGTCTGCAATATGTGCGGCTTTAAGTACACATTATGGAGTGAACCAGAAAAAGAAGACTATATGGATGTAAACACAGCTGCTGTGGCGTCGGTGATGAATATTGGAGGAGGATTCACCAGTTTGCAACAGCTGATGTCTGGTATGGAGATACGTTGTATGAGTGTAAAGACATACGAACAATATCACTCGACAGTGTCACGGGGTTGGGAAGAGACAGCGATGGTAGAGATGAAGTTAGCAGGGGCTGAAGAGGCAGCTCTGGCTAGGCAGCGCGGAGACGTGGACAAGGAAGGTGTTCCATTCATCACAGTTGTTGCTGACGGAAGCTGGGCCAAGCGGTCATATCGCACCAACTACAACAGCTTATCCGGAGTGGTAAGAAGCCATATAATTGCATTTATGCTTTAAATAATACATAGAGTGTTTAGTTATGCTGCATCTAATGTTTTAGCCAAAATTTCCAAAGGACCTAAGTTGACCTGAATTACAGTAGTCGCAGCTATAGTCTGGGCGCGCGACCGCGTTAGGGCGGGGGGTGTAGAGGGGAGTGTTTATTGCTCATTTCCAAAAACATATGGCCCACACGGCTCTCTGGGGTTGTTCAGCGAGACTGTGGGGGTGAGCGAGCCGTTATTCTCAGCACGGTTAGTACACACTCAAGGGTCCGCGCCCCCAGGCTAGCTGCGACTACCGTACTATGGTGTGCCTTATTATAAAAATTAAAAAAACTCGTAAAGGCCCGCCGCACATTGGAGCGAGGCGAGGAGCAGGCGAGGTGCAGGGTAGGTGCAGGTGGGAGCGAGGACTTTTTCGTGTCACCACACATTGAAGCGAGGCGGGACAGAGGTTTCCTAGCTTTGATCCTACTATCGCGAGTAGATGAAGATTCTTAGGACCTTGACTCATTCTGATTGTGGGTTTAATAATTTAGTTTGACTCTATTAGCTATCCGAAAAACTGTAAAAAACGTTTTTGAAAACGTGATTACACGAAAAAAAGATTAAGCCATGGAGATTATGGTTTAACTACTGAACTGCCAGAGTGGTCTTTTAGAAAATATTTTTGAGTGAACAAACAACAGTTTGATGATATCCATAACTTGATTAAAAGTGGCATTAGTGGAAAGGAATGCAAAGCTCAATAACTTATAACCTTCTGAATAAATGCTCCATTTATATATATTTCACTTACAAAACACTAGAAACCCAACGCAGGCGCGAGCGAGGTGCAGGAAAACTGTATTCCAACTACAACAAGGTTTTCACAATTTCATACAAAACTACATAATCTTGATTTATCCTGTTATTGACTAAAATACACTATTTTTGCGGTACCTTGGTATTATTCGGAGGTTACCCTTACAGCGCACTGCGGCGCTTATGTTAGGTTGGGTAGTCATAAATATGTTTGTCGGACGTTCTTCGTTTCGTTATGAATTGAACGATACCAGATGAGTCATACTTTTGACCGCCAAATCCCCTCAAAGTAGGCCAAGGTCATGGTCATGCCGTTGACCTCGCGCATCATCTGTCACCACCTGTATCTGGGTGTGATTATACATCGATGGGTCTGTGTCCGGAGTGATTTATTACCATGCACTAGGTTTATTTTGTCTCCATAAGTGACGTTCTTTTGGACGAAACCAGGAAAGTAATACAAATATATTTATGATAACTCAACCTGAAATAACCGCCGTAGCGTGCTTATAAAAGTGGGCCACAAAAGTCTAAACCCGAAACTAGAATATGAAAATCAAACAGCGAAACCAGTTTACTTAGTTGAGGTTACAAATAAATTAAGATAGGGTACTTAGTAATACAATTTTTTTTATTCAATCAAAACTGATATAAGAAAATGAATTAATCTCACTAATTTCTATGTCTGAACGGGGGTTAGAATTCTGGGAGAAAAAAAACCGGGGAAAATTTAAAATATTGGGTAAAAAATTCAAATTAACTGATTGTCAATTTGTATCGGCAAGTAAAGAATACAGGGATACAAAATAATAATAAATAAGTTTTGTACGGCAGTTATTTGGGTTGTGCTAAAAAATACCCTGCACATTCAGCGTAAAAGAATTACCGTGGAAATAAAATAGGAATAAAATAATACAGTTAGTACTACAAAACGATTTGTCATTATAATATATTTCAAACATTAATCAGTGATGCGACACCTCCTTAGTAAAAGTGGTTGTTAGTAATGGGATAAATAATACCAAAAACTGCTGTAATTTGTGAATATTTTAATTTATAGCCATAGTAACTATTTTCAATTTTCCATTCCAGGGAGCCATTGTGGGGTATCACACGAGAAAGGTTCTTTACTTTGGTGTAAAGAATAAGTACTGTTGTATGTGTGCTCGGTACACTGGGAAACCTATGGACCCACCGCCTCATGCCTGTTTCAAAAATTGGGACAAAAGTTCTAGTAGTATGGAGGCGGCAGCAATTGTGGAGGGCTTCCTTTGTAGTGTTGATATGCATGGCGTCAAGTATAAAAAAATTGTAGCGGACGGAGACAGCAGCGTTTACCAGCGGATTTTGGAAGTGCGACCTTATGACAACATGCAAGTCGAAAAGATCGAATGTAGGAATCATTTGCTGCGCAACTTTTGCAATAAGATAAAGGAAATAGCTACAACAACTGACAGAGATCAAAACACCGACAAAGCGACCCATTGCAAACAAAGAAAAACCATCAATTCATCAGTCATGAGATTAAGAACTGCTGTTACCAAAGCTATTGCATACAGGAAGAAAGGAATCTACACTATAGAAGAAAAGGCTAAACAGTTGAGAGAAGACATAATCAATGGGCCTAGCCATGTTTTTGGTGAACACCGTCGTTGTAGTGAACTCAATTACTTTTGTAAAAAGACTGTTCCTGATTAAATAAATCACGTTCCTGTTATGAGGCAGTGTGGACTATACCAGAAAGTAATGGCTGCCGTTGATGCGCTTGCCGATCAGAGCAGGCATCTTATTCAAGATATTGACAGCAATGTTGTAGAACACTATAATGCTGCGGTAGCCCGATCTGTAGGAGGGAAAAGGGTAAACTTTTGCTTGAAAGGTTCTTACCAAGCTAGATGTGCTGCAGCAGTGGTACGTCACAACTCAGGACGCTCCTACTATAGCCTATACAAAACCATGTTTAAGAAAAGCCCGGGAAAGTTTAGCAAACAATCTGAGGAACGAGCTAGAAGATGCGTTCTTTTGGCAAGATTAAGGAGAGCTCAAAAACCTAAAGCTCGGCGTTCTTTAATCACAAACACGCGTGATAACAAAGATGAACATTATGGACCCCTGTGTAAAAAGCCCGACTTAGATGCAGATGTGTATGAACGAAAGGTTGCAGATCATATGAAAAGCCTCCAGTTACCTGAAGAAGGTCGACGTAGACTAGAAGAAAACACGAGGGATCAGTGTAACAGTGAGCTGTGGCGAGAAGAGCGGAGAAT